AACTTAGGAACCTGAAGGGCTTACATAAACTAAAACATCAAAATGAACTAAAACTCAAAACACTGGGTCATAAGACCCAGGATCGTGACAGGAATGTCATACTATAAAATGGAATGCCATAATATGGAATGATATAATGTAGAATGGAATGTCATAGGATAGTATGAACTGGTACAGTATCAAATAGAATGCATTAGTATAAAATGGAATGGTAATCCCATTTTCACCTTTCACATCTTATCTCATCTCCTTCTTCACACAGCATCATGTATGCTCTGCGTTCAGTGTTGCAATTTACCACATAAACATACAGAACAGTCACATACACAGCCATACCAAATACACACACACACACACCAATATAAAGCACAGTCACATACACAACCGTAAAAGATAGACAGATACACATACACATACACCTTTAGTAAACATGAGCACACTGAGGTTTGTCACATGGAATGTATGGGGAGTTGTTTCCACATTAAAATTACTAAGTTAAATGACTTACAGGCAGTAACAGGAGATATGTCCAAAACATCTGTACACACACTCACTTCTCCACAGTTGCCTCACATGTTCTCAGGCGTTACAACTCGAAACAAAGAGGTATAAATTAATAGCTGAGTAGAGTCAGCTGTACAAAAAGCATGGCACCTAAGGCAATAGAGATGGCAGGACACATCCACACATATTAAATGGAATGCCATAGTGTCGAATGGAATGGTATGGCATAGTAAGAAATAAAGATTTATGTAGACGCAGAAAATTAGAGGTAATCCGGGTCTTTACATCTTTAAGACATTCCTGCAGTTCAACCCTCTGGGGTGCGTGGTATGATTGCCAGTTTTGCCTACTTTTGATTTTATCTTTATATTTCATTTTAAAAACTATTCACCTTGCCTTGTTTGGTATTTTTCTTTTCAGTACACACAAAATGGAAAAGGTGGAATGTCATATTTTAGAATAGAAGTGTATAATAGGCAATGGAATGTCATTCTAAATAATGGAATGCCATAGTATAAACTGGAGTGTCATAGTATAAATGGAATGCCGTAGAATGGAATGTTAATGTATGAAATGGAATGTCATACAAGTCATATTATAGAATGGAAAGTCAAAGTATAGAAGAGAATGGCATTGTCATGGATCGCTGTGTGGCAGGCACGAGGAGGACCCAATCGCAAAACTCACAGACTCAGGGGATGAACTCAAAAAGCAGCTTTATTGCTGACAAAAGATGACAGGAAATACAAAACTAAACTGGGAAAAACTAACATAAAGCTCA